ATTCCCACCCGCGAGGTCACCGGCGGTCGCACCGCCTCGACTTCGCGCAGGGATTTTTCTCCTCCCTCGGTTATTTCCTTACGCTCCGAACAAAAGGAAAAGATGCTGCTCTGCACCTCCATGGAACCCTGGGGAAGGGCTTTCTAACAGCCCAGAAAGCTTTTTCCCCCCATTTTTTTTTTTTAATATCGAGTTTATCTTCGCGTTTTGGATGAGCAAAACATCCCGGGTGGCACTTGGAATTCTCACGAGCTCCAACTAAAGGGGTTCGGAAGGACAGAAAAAGCAAAGCCGGCTCCAGCAGCTTCCAGTAGCAAGACAGTTTACTTTCTGTCTGCAAGGAGCAGTGCTGTTTATAGATACCAGGGAGGGAAAAAAATGCAGAATCTAAACAAACAATCCAGTAATTGCCCATTATCCGTATTCAATTACTTGAATGCATCTGGAAATGGCCACCGCGAGCAACGGCAACGGAAAGGGACGGAGGGTTTTTGATGAATCATTGTCGTCTCCACTCTTGTCTGGCAGGGAATCTGGTTTTGCAAAGAAATTATAAAAAGATGCCTTGGCTAAGAAAATTTTGTCATCGTTTCTGATGCTCTCCCCACGGCAACTGGTTAATATCGTAAATCTCCGCTGCTACTACTGCTAGTACAGCAGGCTAAGTAGGGACGTGAACTTCAAAAAGCCCCTTTGTAAACACTTCAGAAACTTGCATGGAAGTGGAAGACTGGAAAATTTCTTTTAGGGCTTGAAAGAACTTCAAATGAAACTTAGAGACAGCATAAACGTGCAAAACGCCTGGAAAAGTGGTGCTGTACAGACAGAGCCAGGTCTGGCTGGACCTTGTCCTTTTCCTGCAGTTTAGTGTTTTTATGTTTTTAAAGGTGGAAAACCAGTGTTAAAACAGCATATGAGAAAATAAAAATATGAAAGCCTCCGTAATACAGTCATAGCCCACTCCAGGCTGAAATCCAGTCCAATAAAAATAGGGTTTCATAAGCGTCAAGTTATTTCTGAAAATCGCGGCAGCTGTTTTAGGTGCTGTAAAACTTTGCCATGAATTAGAAACGGTGGAAGAAAAACCTCAGTGTGAAGAATTCAGTATTTTGGAAAGTCGGTAGCGAGAACAGAAACCAAATTAATTTTAATTTAGTTTTCCATTATTTCACCAGGAAGGCGGCTTAGTGCAGGGGTCTTATGGTCCCAGCAGGAAAAAAGCAATATTGTACTTGACTGTTGTGGCAATGCAGAGCTGGGCACGTGGGATGGGCTGAGCTCTCCCTGCTAAATTAACGGCAAACACCCCCAAAATAGAAGACTTAAATGAAGCCTTCGGTTCAATACGTGCTCCAAGAGATTTTTTTCTGCCACTTTGGGCTCAGAGCGGAGCTCGGCGCCGGCTGCACTACCCAGGGTCCCCTCCCACTACAACTACCTCTTGATATTTAAAAAAATCTTCTTTTTAAGACAATAATATTGGGGTCTGTGCTCTGGATTGCTCAAAAAAACCCACAAAAAACAGGGGGGAGAGGAAGGAAACAACAAAGGTTGGATGCCTGGAAAAAAATCCCAGCCTGGACTGGTCATTCCTGCCTCGTGCGAGGTGGGGAGGGGACGCGCGAGCCACCCTGCCACCGCGTGCCCCCAACCTTACCAGGATCGTCGACGTTTTGCCGCCCTCCAAAGTAATTTCCAGATCCGAGAGTGCAGCATCCACTTCATCCACCTCCTTGTCGCTGTTGTTCAGGTGGTTTTCCGAGGACATGATGGACAGTTTATTGATGTGGTACTGAAAGGCAAGGCACAGCGTTTCACCAGGATGCTCCCACGAGCTGCCGGATGCCGCAGGCTCATTGCGACACAGCTGCCATGCTTGGGAAGTGGAGGGGAAAACCGGAGCTGTATACTGGATGGGAGCAGAGGCTTTTTCCGAGACCCGAGCGCAATCGAGTCTGGAATGACCTGGCTTGGCTGTTTTCAGTGCAAGGAGTCAGCGGTACGATCCCTGAAGGACCGCTCTGGAGCTTGCAGGGCAGAGCTGCTCTTTTCAGAGGTGGGAAGGGACCTCTGGACATCATGTGGTCCTGCTCCCTGCTCAAGCAGGGCCACCTACAGCTGTTACCCAGGACCATGTCCAGTTGGCTTTTGAGTATCTCCAAGGATGGAGAATCCACAACCTCCCTGGGCAACCTGTACCAGTGCTCCGTCACCCTCACGGTCAATAAGTGCTTCCTGATGTTCAGAGTCTCCTCCTGCGTTTCAGTCTGTGCCCATAGCCTCTGGTCCTGGCATTGGGCACCACTGAGAAGAGCCTGGCTCCATCTCCTTTACAGCCTCCCACCAGGTATTTATAGACATTGATAAGATCCCCTTGAGCCTCCTCTTCTCCAGGCTGAAGTCCCAGCTCCCTCAGCCTTTCCTCAAAGAAGAGATGCTCCAGGACCTTCAGCATCCTCGTGGCCCTTTGTTGGACTCTCTCCAGCATGTCTATGTCTCTCCTGCACTGAGGAGCCCAGAACTGGACACCTGGTGTTGCCCCACCAGTGCTGAGCAGAGGAGAAGGACCACCTCCCTCAACCTCCTGGCAATGCTCTGCCCAGTGCAGCCCAGGATAACATTCCCATCCTTCACCCCAAGGACACGTCGCTGGCTCAGCACCCCCAGCTCCTTTTCTGCCAAGCTAATTCTCAGCTGGGTGGCCCTCAGAATATACTGGTGCCTGGGGTTTTTCCTCCCCGGGGGCACGACTTCGCAGCTCTCCTTGTTGAACTTCATGAGGTTCATGTTGGCCCATTTCTCCAGCCCATTGAGGACCCTCTGTATGGCAGCACAAGGCTCCATGTGAGGACCCTCCAATGGAAAGATGCATTACATCTGCTTTGACACCAGAAAAGCGAGACATCCATAAAATCTCAGACAAAGGACCATGCTCAATCCACTATGACCTGCTCAGAGAGGTAAACTGAGTCTTTATGATGCTCTTTCTGTGTCCTACAGCGACGAGGCACACCAGGCCACACGTAGCAAATGGCCTGCCCTCTGCCTTGCAGAGGTCAACAGTAGGTATAGCACTGATGCCAAATCACACCGAGCATTTCGTGAAAGAGATAAATAAACAGTTCTGGGAAACCCGCCGATTATCACCAGCCGTCTGGGGGGCAGGGTGCCAGAAGCGCACAGTTCAGTAACCCAGTGCACTGACCAGGGTTTTTTTTAAGAAGGGCAGGACTAAAATGTTAAGATAGACATAAACATGTTTGGTAAAAGAAGGCCAAGTTCCTCTTCACGAGAACTAATCAGCAGCCAATACTTAAATGACTTAATAAGCTCAAGTGAGGATTAGGAGACGGGAAACGATCTGACTTCTACCAACATGAGAAGTCTAAGCTCCCACCAAAGACAAGGTGAGGTTTAAACCACCAGTTATAGCAGCTTTCACCTATCATAGAATCCTAGAATGGTTTGAGTTGGAAGGGACCTCAAAGATCATCCAGTTCCAACCCCCCTGCCATGGGCAGGGACACCTTCCACTACACCAGGTTGCTCAAAGCCTCATCCAACCTGGCCTTAAACACTTCCAGGGATGGGGCAGCCAAAACTTCTCTGGGCAATCTGGTCCAGTGCCTGAGCACCCACAGACGGAAGAATTTCTTCCTTAGATCTCATCTAAATCTCCCCTCTTCCAGTTTAAAGCCATCACCCCGTGTCCTATCACTACATGCCCTTGTTCAAAGCCCCTCTCCAGCTTTCTTGTAGCCACTTTAGGCACTGGAAAGCTGCTGGAAGGTCTCCCCGGAGCCTTCTCTTCTCCAGGCTGAACAGCCCCAACTCTCTCAGCCTGTCTCCATAGCAGAGGTGCTCCAGCCCTTGGATCATCTTTGTGGCCTCCTCTGGACCTGCTCCAACAGCTCCATGTCCTTCTTGTGTTGGGGACCTCAGAGCTGACTGCAGCACTGCAGGGGAGGTCTCATGAGAGCAGAGCAGAGGGGCAGAATCCCCTCCCTCAATTTGATTACCATGTTAATCAATATTCATAAATAGAGAAGCCTGCAAAGCTTATAAAATCAAGTTTAACAACAAAAGTAAGCACCTCGGGCTGCCTCCTACCTGCAGCGCCGCAAACATCATCATTTCTTCCTCCGTGCACTCGATCTCCTCCAGCAGAATGGCCCATTTGGACTGCTCGTACAGCTGGTTGATCCTGATCGCGTCGTACTAGGGCACAGGGCGAAAACACAGGCCATTTGTAAAAGCTACGAGCCCGGCTCAAGACAAACCACCTCATCTTTCATTTCAACGCAGCGCTTCAACCCGAGGCCGAAAAGCCTCTGCCATCGAAGCAGGTGGCTCTAAGCAACCCTACGAGCATCTCTAGCGATACCCAAGCATTACGTGGGAGCACAGGAAGCCTGCAAGACCGATTTCCAAAGCGGGGGAGGATCCACCAACACAAAAGCACGTTAGAGACAGAAGCATCCTTTGCTCAAAGCCTTTGCTGGCGAGATATGAGTGAAATAAATAGTTCTGTACCTTTGGATTCAGGTCAAAAAAGCTGTAGTACTTGAACCGGAGCAGCAAAGCCTCGTTTTCTTTCACCTCCTGCTCCATAAGTGACCGGGAGGAATCCAGCCATCTGTAAATTGTCAACACAGGATAACACACACGCAAAAAAAACTCCGGCGAAGTCGCGATGACGCTTTCAAGAATTCAATTCAAAACGACGTATTGGGGGTGGGCAAAAAAAAAAAAAAAGGCAGAAAAAACTAAATCCTCGACTCACCCTTGGTTGATTTTGGCTTTATCCAGCAGCGCCTGCGGCTTGTACATTTTTGCTAAGGACTCTGGGGAGGTGACGGGCTGGCTGACGGCCAGGATGCCCGGGTTCCCCTCCGACAAGGCGCTGTCGCCGAACCAGGCTGAGGTGGGTGACAGGGGACTGCCGTCGTGAGCGTCGTAGGTGGGCGTCATGGTTTTGCTATACAGTCCTGGGCTCGAGTATATATTTCCTACCGGTGACAGGAATAAAAGCCGGGAGTTAGCTGGTGGCCAGGCCCTGCCTGCTCCCAACCAAGCCAACTCAGACACAAACCCGAAGCCAGCGGATGAAAAACCTTCCCTTTTTTTTTTTTTCCGCAATGGGAAAACACTATGCTGCTTGTTTTCCCATGAAAAGCTGCCCCTCTCTCTCTCTCTCTCTCTCTCAGCTCTTCTCCAAGAGCAAAACTGATGGAAAACTCATTCCAGCCCAAATCCATGAGAAAAAGGCGCAGGTCTCCCATGCTGGGAAACTCCTGCCCCGCTGCGTTTCTGCGGCACCTGATGGGCCCCCGACTTACCGGTATTACCTGTTGCTTAAAGATTTTGGAAGTCAAAAGTTTTAGAGGAGCAGGAAAATAAACTAAGGGCGCAGTCAAAGAGACCAGAGGCAGAGGGCAAAAGTCCTACTGAGGTGGAGCTCACCTTTGACGGGGCCGATGTAAAGAATATCGGTGCCTATAGAGAGGGAAAGAAAGGAGGGAAGTGAGAAGGCGAGAGAAAGTCACCGGGAGAGTAGGGAAGGACAGAAGCCAAAAATGGGCATTTTTGGAAGAGGGTAGAACAGCACAGGTGAGATTTAAGCACTCAAACGGAGCGTTGGCAGCAGTACCAGTGGACTTGGCAGGCAAAGCAACCAAAGGAACTCCACGGTTATTTTATTCACGTTACAACAAACAGGTGGGCACGGAAACGTGGCATTTCCCGGGTGCAGAAGCTTGCTGAGCCGGCCAAACAAATTTGGTATTAATATGCTGAGCGAGCGGTGTGGTTTGGTGCAAAACCGATCCCGACGCACACGTTACTCCCAGCCCTTTTAGAGCTTTACAGCTCGTACGGACTCGAAGTGGACAGAAAAACCCCAACCCTTTTAAAATTACAAAATTGAAGAGAAGAAAGTGGACCCAGCTTGGTACCTTAAAATAGCCAAGAGCTAAACAGTCCCCATTCATTTCATGGGAGCACTGATTTTTACATTAAGACTACAAAACGTGGGTTTTTCAAAATAAGGGAGGCTCAACGACCGTATCCTAATGTCAGCAATTCCACTGCGTATGTACATCGGGCAAGGAGCTCTGCATCACTTGCTGGGTGTAAATCTGCACACCAGCACCGAGAAGGACCAACAACTGGCTGAAGGAACCTGTTCAGATGTGCAATCCGATGCACCCGAACTCCACCTCCAAAAGCACTATCAAGGGTGTTGAAGGGGTGCGTGGCAGGGTTGAGATGCCAGAAGCACGGTCTTCTGTGCCACCTCCTGCTGCTGCCCTGAACCACCACCTCGGGCCACCCTCCGCCTCCACGCTCCAAACAATCCCTCCTCCCTGAATGTCCAGGAAACGACAGCTAAGCTAGACATCTGGGAAAGTCTTAAGACCAAAAGAACAGAAAAGCCTTTCCAAATTCTCATTTTTTTGCGATGGGTATCTCAAGGAGCAATACAAATGGTTTGAATCAGCAGTATCATATCAATGACACCCAATATCTTGGTTAGGAAACTTAAATAATCATGGAATCGTAGAATGGTTTGGGTTGGACGAGACCTTTGAGATCATCTAGTTCCAACCGCTGTGCCATGGGCAGGGACACCCTCCACCACACCAGGTTGCTCAAAGCCTCATCCATAATACAGAAATGTGACTCTAAACTGCTCGATAGGATGGAAAATGTAAGTGAAAACTGGATGGTTTTAATGCTCCTGCTAGTTTTGCCAGCATCGTGGTCTGGATTAACGTTTCGACAAAAAGCCTGGGAACCGGTAAGCACCATGGGAACCTGCCACCGAGAAAGACCCAGTAAACTGGGTGGGAGCAAAAAAGCAGCAGAGATGGTGAAGGGATGGAGATATCCACCTTCGAGCTTCACACTTGCAAGGAGATGGCCAGGAGTGACTCGCCAGGTACTTACACCACAAACTCTGGAAGCTGGATTTGATGATCCTTACGGGTCCCTTCCAACTCGAGATATTCTATGATTCTATGATTATAAAAGCAGCAGAAACGTGCTCTCCCCATGGACCGTTACAACGCTGGAGCACAGCAGCCCAGCAAGACCTGGCAATAAATCACCACCATCATCCATAAAGATGCTCTTGCCCTGTCCCCATCTGCTCTCACAGCGTGCCAGCCTCACCCTTCACGTGGCTCAAGCAGACAGGGCTGAGCGTTAACTGGACCAACAAAACCAAAACCCCTTCTTGCCCCAAATTGAGCACGTTTTCCCACAGACATCCCCCCACATCCCTCCATTCCAGTGCCTGCTCCAGAGGAGCAAAGCTTCCCCTCAGATGTTCTCCCCACCACCTCCTCCAAAGGTCTAAAACATCTCAGAAGAAGCTTCCCTTAAAAAATTTGCCTGAGGCAAGCGATGTCATGCAAAATTCCTGTTGAAATAGCTACAAGTTTGGCTAACTTATAAACAAGTGAATGCAGGTCTTCTGATGGAAGGTGTTGGGCAACATTTGCTCTGGGTGTACCGACGGCTCTGCCTACGCTGACTTAAAAGGGTGTCACTGCCAGGTACTGGGTGCTCAGTGACAAAACACGCTCAGTACATCCACATGCACTGAAATAAGCAGATCCCAAAATATTAACTTGCTTTACACACAAATTCAGCCCAGAAACTAATGTCGGAACGACGCTAAACCCAGTTTATTCAGGTCAAAACCATGACTTTTAACTAATGGCACCTACCCATGGCAGATAGCTGCAGTAATTAAACCCGCAGCCAAAGTAATTTCATTCACAAGGACAGTAAAACCAGCAAGCCAGTTCGAAGCAACTTGCCGAAAGACCAATAAATAATTAAAATAAAACCCTCTCTTTTGCGCACATTGCCCCCAAAGCAGTCCAAGTCTTACCCATTAATCTAATGGAGATGCTCTTCTCTGCAGAAAGGCTCGTTACGGACATTCAAGATGAAAATGCCAAATGAAAATGAGAATTGCCTGGAGCCTTGCCCGAGGCAGGGCAAACTCCCGGCGCCAGGAGCGGGAGAGGACTAGTCTAGCCAGAAGCGGGAGAAGACTAGCCCCGCAGTATTTTTAAGTAACTGAGAGGAGAAAGAGTGAGACCAGAGCAAAAGACAGATGATTTTCCCCTCCCTACAGACCCGTGCTGCCGGTTTGCCGCGGAGCCTGCGGTGCACATCGCTTTGGCACGGCAGCTCCCCGGCACCCCCGCCCCCCCCCCTGCCCAGCCAAAACCTTTCTGCTGGCAAGCCCGGAGCCCCCAGCGCCGTCAACCACACTGCCTGACCTTCACTTGTACTTCAGTTAATTTAAGACCAAATTAATACAAGTTTACTGAATTCCGAGATTATGATTTTTTTTTTAATTAAAGCCGCCCTGCTCCCCTCTCGTCGCTGGATTGGAAACCAAGAGCTTTGGCAGCCAGACGCGTCTCGCCCGCATCTCTGCGGCTTCCTCCTCAAGTCCATTTGGGCTAAAGTGCTCCCACTTGACCCACTTTAGCATTTAAGCTCCTGCCATTTGCCTCCAAACACCAGACCTCCAGCAGCTCCAAAATCCCCTCCGCTTCCAAACACCTCCCTGCATCGATCCGCTGCCGGCGGCAAGAGCTGTTACTCCATCAGCGATGTCACTCGGGTTAACGACGTTACTCCGTTAGCAATTCTCTTCCCAACGCTGCTCCGGTTCTATAAGCCAGACTGGCAAACTACACCCCCCCCCCAGCAATAAAAGATGTTTGTTTTTAGCTTTAATATCTATAGCTACGCCCTAACATAAGGGAGCACTAACACAATTAATAAAATACTGATTTTGCTGGGCTAGAAATACGGAGTAGAACAGCGGTCTTGCCTGAAACACACCTGGAATTCAACATTAGGAACGATTTTCCATTTAACTCCTTTTTTAACAGGGCAAGAAAACATTTCAGTAACACAATCTGAGCATTAAAGTGGTCACAGTTGGTTCCTGGTTTATTTTATAGAGCCTGGCGGTGCTCCGCTCCCCTATAGCGTGACAGCTTTGGGCATGCATCTGTGCCACCGCGACCGAGTGCTGCAGCCCTGGATGAATTGTGGAATTTATTTGGCATCCATTTCTTGCACAGACCTTAATGTCATTCCCCCTCCCCATTTTATTTTCTGTTCGCCGACCCCTTTCCCTGCCAGCCTGTCCTCACGAAACAAGCCCAGGCTCACCGGACCCCGGCGTGATCAGTGGACCCTCCAGCTCGAAGGCGTCGTCTTCACATTGATCATCCAACTTCTTCTTTTTTTTCTTGGATGGATCTCTGGGTTTCCTCAAAAGGGAGAGCTCTTCCGGATGCCTGATGTCTGGGGAGAAAATGGATCACTTTTACAAAGGCAGAATGGAAAAAAAGGGGGGGGGAAAAAGAATATCCTTCCTTTAGGAATAACATCCAGCAACGTGCAATATCTCCCTGTGCTGATTTTCCTGCTTTGCAATGGTTAAAAATCAAGTTGAGAACATTTTTCCTGCAAGCCTGTCGGAAACAAGCACCGTCCTTGGCTGGAGAGGTAACAGGGCATTTGGCTAAAATGCAGAATTTCCCAGGCACAGTCACTGTAATGCAAATATAAACACTGCCAGACCCTGAGACAGCCTCGTACCATTCCCACCCATTATCTTAAATACAAATAAATATTAAAAAATTTGTATATAGTGCTCAGTATGTAACCCCCTATTTAGGCACCTGGGTAACACTTCCATAGGAGCAATCCCAGAGTCAAGCCATTTATTTAAGCATCAGACTGGAAATGTTAAGAGCCTATATTTAAGGCACCCACTTTTTAAAGAGATGTTGGCCAAAGTGTTTCATTTTCACAGCAAATCTCTCCCATTTCCCTGCCCAGGGAATAAGGAAACAACAATAAGGAAAATTATTTCCCTGCCTGAGTAATTTTAAACCATGTTATTTAAAATGAAAAGCATCATTGTGTGTTTTAAGACATGGGATTGGGGGGAGGGGGGGAGGGCAATGAAAAAGAGAATTTTAGGACCATCTCCCACAAAGACGGTACTTTGGTTCTCCTGCTGCACTCGCTTCCAAGCGGGAAGGAGTTTTCTGGGAAAGCGGAGCCCACCGTCCACTGCACCACCAAAACCACAGAGGAGAACCGGGAGCCCCTTGCCGGCGCTACAAAAACAAAGAGGGGGAGAAAAAACCCTCCATTTACTCGAAATTGTCCTCAGTCACTACAGAATCATAGAATGGTTTGGGTTGGAAGGGACCTCAAAGATCATCCAGTTCCAACCCCCCTGCCATGGGCAGGGACACCCTCCACTACACCAGGTTGCCCAAAGCCTCATCCAACCTGGCCTTGAACACTTCCAGGGATGGGGCAATGTGGGAACTGACCTGGAAAAGCATCTACCTGGGCACGGAGCCATCCTATTGCGACGACGAAAGGCTGCAAAAAGGTCGGAGAGCTCTGAAACGCAGCTTGGATTGGTAAAAAAGGAGATGAGAGGTCATGGCAGAGCCTGGAAGGAAGAGTGCCGGAGCTCTGGTTTTCCATGTTGGAGTCCCTGTGTTGTTTCTAGCTCTGTTTTTACCACGTATCACCCAAAAACACTTGGTTGCACAGGAGACGTGCAAAGCTTTGCCTTCGGGATGCCCTACGGAAAGCACGAATGCTCCCGCAGCCGTAGCTGCACGGGAGCCAGAG